TGTTGCTCTTTAGCAACGTAAAAGGGTGTGTTTGAGTATATTTAATTGAATAAGTAAAGCAAATTTTAAGGTAATACAAATTATTCCGAGTTTATTCAAAAATGGGAAAATATAGTGGACTGTAGGTTAAATTGAATTTAATAAACTGGTCTAGTCGACGATTCGATTGCGAGTGCTCCGTTGCCGGTGTACGGGTGCCGAGAGCTCACATTCGGAAAAAGTACATATTTGAATTCTAGTACAGTTTTAAACATATATATATATATAAGGATAGTGAGTATGTTCAGTTTCGAATTAAGTAATTCTATTACATTTCAAATATGTATATAAAGTAGAGGGTGACTAATTCTTCATGTAAATTCATTATAAGTAATTCTATTACATTTCAAATATATTTATAAGATAAAGGTTAGCTAATTATTCATCATCATCCATGTCTTCGACATCACGCCCGGCCGGCCGCGTAGAAGCGGATACTAGCTCCTTCAGCTGGTTGATGATGTCTTGCGCTTTATTGAGCAGCTCACGCATTTTACGACTCCGGGCAGCGGTGGGACTTTGCAGACCTCGAGTACGCCGGATTGTCCGACGGCTAGCATAGCGAGTCCTCTCCCTACGTCGGATCGTTGACGACTTCGCCAGCGTTCGATGTAGCAGCGTGTGGTGCGCCCTACCACACTGATGACAGCTGGCTGGAGAGTCACAGGCACCGGTGACATGGGAGGTAGCCAGGCAGTTTACACAATATTTATGTACTCGGGCTGACTCATGCCTTTCAGCCGGCGTCATGGCGAGAAAAGCTTTACAGTAGCGCAATGAATGGGGGGCGGCAACAAAGGCGACATTTGCTGAGCTCCATGGATGCTTCACTTGTCCTATGAAGAAATTAAATTTGAAACCAAACATTAGTTTTTTTGCGTAAATACGGAGGGAATGGGAGTGAAAATGTTCTGTGGTTAACCACAGAGTCTGTATATTGAGGTATAAAGAAAAGAGAATTTTGAATAAAGTTTGATGCGTTAAGCATCCATTGTGCTGGGTGGAGGTGGTAACAAGCATAATTTTGCGATGTTGCGTGTTATAATTCCCTTTTGGGTACGGATGTCAGCCACGCGAACGTTTTGGTCGGGACCGGGATAGAGCTTAACAATACGTCCGAGGCGCCAATCATTTGGTGGGAGGTTGTCTTCTTTGATGACGACGAGGTCTTCCACTGCGATATTGGGTTCTTTGCCTTTCCACTTATGCCGTTTGTGTAGCTCTTGCAAATATTCAGTTTTCCATCGGGTGCTGAATTGATGGTGAAGTACCTTGAGCTTCTGCCACTTGTTTGGAAGAGACAGGTTTTCTGCGTTAGGTTCTGGCAGAGAGGCAAGTGGTGCTCCTCTTAAGAAGTGACCGGGAGTAAGAGGCTGTAAATCGCTAGGATCTTGAGACAAAGGCGACAGCGGTCTGGAATTGAGTACCGCTTCGATTCGTATGAGCAGTGTGGTGAATTCTTCAAACGTGAATTTGTGATTCCCCGCGACTTTGTTGAAGTGCGTCTTAAAACTTTTAACCGCTGCTTCCCACAGGCCTCCCATATGAGGAGCGTATGGTGGTATAAATTGCCAGGAGAGGCCATGAATGATATATTTTTCAGCGATATCTGAGGCGGCTTCCTTAAGAAAAGTGGAAAGTTCTCGGTGGATTGACCTTTGAGCGCCTACGAAAGTTTTCCCGTTGTCCGACATGATTTTATGGGGGAGACCACGTCGACCAACGAATCTGGCAAAGCAGGCCTTGAAGGCTTCTATTGTCAGGTCTGAGCAGAGTTCTAGATGTATGGCTTTGGTGGAGAAGCAGACAAACACGCATACATATGCTTTTGTGTGTGAGGCGCGACGCAGTAAAGAAGTTTTCACCAGGAATGGGCCCGCGAAGTCTATTCCCGTGGTGTGAAATGGTAGCGAGTAGGTTGCTCGTGCTGGAGGCAAGGCCGCCATTATCTGCGATCGCATTTCTCGCTTGTGTATGGTGCACACCTTGCAGTGGAAAATGCATTTTTTAACTTTCTGCTTAAGTCTTGGGACGTAATACTCTTGTTGTACCATCCGGACCATGAGCTGTTTTCCCGCGTGGAGTAGAGTTGTGTGGAGAAAATCTATGAAGAGAGAAAGGAACTTGGAGTTTTCGGGTATTATGATGGGGTGTCGTTCATTGTAGGTGAGAACGGCGTGCTTAAGGCGGCCGTTTACACGCATTACGCCACTTTTATCAAGCATGGGGTTCAACGATAGCAGCGAGCTTTTTTTATTTACCGGTTTCGCGGCTTCCAGTTGTGCGACCGCCTCTGCGTAATGATTGTGTTGGGCGCATATGATGAGCCGGGTTTTGACGTAACTGATTTCGTCCTGGGTGAGTGTGTGCGTCGTGGGTATTGGTTCCTTTCGTGCGCTGCGGATGAACCGATACACGTAAGCGATTACCCTAAGGGCGCGAGGAAATGACGAGAATCGAGTGAGAGGGTCTTCGTTCTCTATTGTGTGATAAGATTCCACAGATTTTTGTTCAGGGGGAAAGAGCGTTTGAGGCGCATTCTTTGGCCAGCTCGCTGAGGGTTTGGTGAGCCACTGAGGGCCATTCCACCATAGGGAACATGACGCTAGATCTTGTGGCTTGCATCCTCGAGTGCCTAAATCTGCGGGATTGTCTAAGCTCGATACGTGTCTCCATGTGGCGTTATTGACATTCTGCAAGATGAGGGAAGTTCGGTTCGCCACATATGTCTTCCATGTCCATGGTGGTTTTTCTAGCCAGGCCAGCACGATAGAGGAGTCTGACCAGAGTATGAGCTCATGGGTCGGCAGATTAAGTTGGGATCGAATATGCTTCACAAGTTTGGAGAGAAGGACCGCTCCACACAGTTCCAAGCGAGGCAGACTCACTGTTTGGAGGGGTGCGACTTTACTTTTTGCTACGAGCAAATGAGATGATGCCGAGTTTTCACAGTGTTCCACTCGGAGATAAACGCATGCGCAGAATGCTTTTTCGGATGCGTCTGAGAATCCATGGAGCTGAATGGTTTTATTAGGGGAAAACTGAACCCATCGCGGTATCTGTATTTCGCTGATGGCTATGAGGTTTTCTCGAAATGAAGTCCACTTGCGAAGCGCTCCGGGTTTGACGTTCTCGTCCCAATCAGTACCTTCCATCCAGAGTTGTTGGAGTAAGATTTTCGCCTGGATCATCATTGGCGATAGCCACCCTGCCGGGTCGAAAAGTTTCGCCACGGAGGACAAAATCTGTCTTTTAGTGGCTGCTGTGGAGTCTGGCAGGGGGTCAATAGAGTATGAGAATTCATCGTTGCGTGCATTCCATGTTACGCCGAGAGTTTTTGTTGAACTGGAATCATGGAATTCAAGAAAGTTTGTTTCTAAGAGGTCTGGTTTAGGTATATTTTTGAGTAGATATTTGTGGTTCGCAGTCATTTTTTTTAATGGAAAACCTGCTGATTTTAACGCATCAGTTACCTGGGTCATTGACGTAAGTGCTGAGTCGAGGTCGTGACCCCCAGAGAGTATATCGTCAACGTATATTTCATTTAACAGTATTTCTGTGGCTTTTGGGTATTTGATGCTTGAGTCTTTAGCTAGTTGGTGAAGCGTTCTTATCGCGAGGTATGGCGCGCAATTGACACCAAAGGTAACAGTTTTTAATTTAAAATCTTGTACCGAACTTTGAGGGGTTCTGCGGAAAAGTATCCTTTGGAATTCTTGATCCTCTGGGTGAATGTATATCTGGCGGTACATTTTCTCAATGTCGCCATTGAAAACGTATTTGTACAAACGCCATTTGAGTAGAACGAGCATAAGATCATTTTGGAGTATTGGACCTGTGTGGAGGATGTCATTAAGAGAGATACCTGAATGCGAAAGTTTCGACGCGTTGAAAACTACTCGCACCTTGGTAGTTTTACTATGTGGCTTTATTACTGCGTGGTGGGGTAGGTAGAATGAAAAATATTTGCCTTCACGTATTATTTCTCGGGACGATGTGGGTTCCATGTGACCTAATGTGAGGTATTCTTCAAGGACCTTCGAGTATGTTTGTTGCAGTTCCGGCTTCCTTTCATGCGATCGCTCGATACTGAGATATTGTTGTTGTGCTGCAGGCTTGGAGTGTCCGAGTGCAATCGTGTCCGGGAATGTAGTTTTAAACGGAAGTTTTACCACGTAACGACCGTCATCTCTGCGAGTTGTGGACTTTTGATAGAGATCTTCACAAAATACATCATCGTCAGTGAGGGATGGGGTTGCTGGTACTTCCTCCTGATCCCAGAACTTCTTGAGCAGATCATTGAGAGAGTTTGTTGTGCTTTCAACTACCTGGGTTGAGAATGATGATACTTGTTCCGTCAGTGGGCCGCTCAAAATCCACCCAAATATTGAGTTTTGGGCTATCAAACTTCCACCGACATTGGTTTTTAGGCCTGGGAGTAACACTTGGGGAATGACATCGCTTCCTAATACCATGTCTATTCGAGCTGGAGTAAAACAGTGGGGGTCTGCTAGGGGGAGGGATGAGTATTCTTGCAGTTCAATATATGTAACTTTGAACGATGGCAAGAAATGAGTAAGTTGCGGGAGTATTATCGCGTTTGTCGTTATTTTCATAGTTGAATCAGCAGAACAAATGGTAATCGGGCAGATTCTGTTCGCATTTTGCAGTACGCGGCCACCCATTCCCATAATTTCATAACTAGTCGCTTTTGTCGGCAGGCCAAGCAGTTTTTGTATGCGAGACGCTATGAATGTTTTCTGAGATCCTTGATCTACAAGAGCTCGAATTTTGAAAATTTCTCCATTATGCAGGATTGAGATTTTTGCGGTAGGAAGTAGGGTTTTTTCTCTACTACTCGCAAAATGTGAGAGAGTTTGTTGAGCTGCCTTTGAGGTTGATGCTTCGTTTGGGTTGCTATTCCCTGGAGATGGGACTCGTGCCTGATTTGTTTTAGACCTGGTGCCTGTATTTGCTGTTGGTGATCTAGCGGGGTAATGGAGAAGAGAGTGATGCCGTTTTTGGCAATAAACGCAGGTAAACTTGCTGTGGCACTCAGTTTCTGAGTGGGAACAGGCCAAACAGTTTTTACAATAGTTGTTGTCTCTTATGAACTTATTGCGTTCTAGAACTGAGAGCTCCTTGAATTTGACACAGGTCATCAGAGAGTGATTTGAGTTGCATAATTTGCAAGATACCTGTTTTTTTAACTCAGTGTTAAATGAGTGAGTTCTGTTTTTATAGCCGAAGGAATGAGTATGATTAGGGGTTGATGAGCGTGGGGTATAATTTGGTGGTAAGGCCTTGGGTTTATTTGGCCTGTACGTACTAAGTCTCTCTACGATTTCATAACGGGTTGTCAGAAATTTATTCATTTCTGACCAGAGGGGTAACTCTTTTCTAGAGTCGAGTGACTGTTCCCATAACGCTAGGGTTTCATCTGGGAGTTTTGAGGAGCAGAGATGTATTAATATGGGGTCCCAGTTTTCTGTGGGTACGCCATTTGATTTCAAAGTCGAGAGGCAATTGTTTATTGTTGTCTGAATTGCCTGAATTTTTTCCCCATTTTCGCTTTGAATGGGCTGAATATTAAAGAGGGTTTTGAGTTGGTTGTCGACAAGGAGTCTGCGATTTTCATAACGGGATTTTAATGCATCCCATGCGAGCTCAAAGTTTTGGTCATTCATCTCATAGTTTTTTATTAAAAGTGCTGCTTTACCTCGGGTTTTTAGCTTTAAGTAGTACAGTTTTTGGGCTTGAGAGAGTTGGGGGTGTTGTTTGTACACTGCTGTGAACATGTCCCTGAAGGACGGCCAATCTTCGTAGCCGCCATAAAAGAAATCAGTGTCACAAGCAGGTACTTTTAAGTAGTTTTGAGTTAGGGGTGGGGCTGGGGCTGCTGAAATGGTGGTTGCGCTTGCGCCTATCGCGTTTTGTTGAAGTCTGGGGAGCAGTTGGTTTATTCGGGTCCTAGTATTGTGGCACATATCGATGGCTGCGTCATATTTCGTTTCGTATGCTTTCCTATACTTTTCGTCACTGCAACACATGTGTACAAGCTCGTATGCCTGTTCAACCCATGCTAGGTGTTTGGTGAGTTCCTCCACATAAAGCTTGAGACCGGCTTCCGAGTGATCCGTTTCGTTTATCTTCCACCATTTCGCACAATATTTTTCCAGCTTTGAGATTTCGAAGAGGAATTTTTTTTGAGTTTGGGTCAATTCCTCATCGTCCGTTTGAGATTTTGACCGTGTCTTTACTCCCTGAGGAGGTGCCTGGAGGGATGTGAGTTTTTCCTGTTTTTCTTCCGCCATTATTTAATTTTTTGGGGAAGGAAGTTTATAGGAGAAATTGAGGTAGCTTTGCTGCTATAAATCGATTGAGTGAGATTGAGTTTTCGAGATTTTTTTTTTTCTCAAGTTTATATTTATTGTGGCTTTTCGTAAAATTTATTGGGAGATGGAGGTTATTTAAGAGGATTAACTCAAATTTTGTACTTGGGATATGCTTAATAAATTTTATTTTGATTTAAAACACTTTAACTTGATTTAATTTGCTAAGTTTTTGGGAATCGGAATTTTACTGCACCACACTGTATTTGCGTTGGTGCGAAAAATTTATAGGGTCACTGTATTGTCGGAGTACAATAGCAATTGTGGACTGTTTTGTTTTGCGCAAAAGCAATAAAATCTATGCGTAAAGATTTGAACAGTCGAAAACAAGCTATGTATTTGCAATGAGTTGTTATGTATTTTCCTACATATGTCAGCCACTGTAGTTTGGCGCTTAGATATTAAGGGCTAGGTATGTATGTGCGAGTATGTATACTTAGCGCCTAAATGCTAGTACATACGTACATACGCAAGATAATTTGAGTGACCCACGAAATATTATTTGGAAATAGAATCTAGAATGCTAAAACCAAAGAGCAAGGGAATATGTGTTTGGGGTTTCTCTACTGATTATTATTAGGTATGTACATACATATGTTTGGATGCATCAACATAGATTCGCTCTATGAGAACCGTTGTAGTTTGGCGCGAGTGCATACGTATGTATTAATGTATGTATTTATGTATACAGCGCAGTATTAGTACATATGTATATAGGTAAATGCCCTGACTGACGAAATATTATTCAAAACTGAGTTGGCGTTGCGAAACGGGAATTTTTTCTTTGGTACATGTACCCAGGCGGAAATTTGGGACGTTCACTTGAACAATAGTTTCGTTCACTGAATTTAATAATCATGCATGTATTGTGAGTTGGGGGTAAATTATTTGAATATGTGATGGAGTATATATGTTGTATATTACTGTGCCTTAAGTTTAGCGGATTTTTTCTTCGAGTTGGAGAAAACGGGATATATGTATTTGAATATATGTCTACATATATATGTAGATATACAATATATTTATAATATACTGTGTTTAAAGAGTGCACGGTATTTGTCTACGGTAAATGAAAAAGGGGTAATTCATTTCACCGTATTTTTTACGAAAATCCGCTAAACCTTGCAAAAATATGCGGATATGTAAGTATGTATGTTTGAGTAACTCACTTTGGCATTCCTATGTACAAACTCTTTTTTTTCGTGTGGTGGTCTACTGTACCGGTGACTGGCCTGCTGCTATGCGGTACCTTCCGTCGCTACTGCGCCCAAGTTTCCGTCTGCCTGTTGTTGTTGTTGTTTCGGTTGCTGGTGGTGCTCCGCTACAGCTGTCTCAACAGGTGCTTCGGTGGCTGGCTGCTGCGCTGGACGATGGTAGCTGATGCGGTGGAAGATGGTTGCTGTTATTTTGCACCACTATAACAATTTTTTTCTTTTTGTTTGCGAATTTATGTTCTTCTTAGCACTTTGTTTTTGTTCGCCACTACTTGTTTCACTGTTTTCTCTGTTTATGTGTTTTTCAATGTTCAATTTTTGATTTTGCAATTAATGTTTATTAAATGTTTTCAGTTTTCGGTTTTTTTATTTCACCTTTCACTGTTTATTGTTGTGGAATGATTTATTTAATTTGATTTAATTTTTTTTAACGCACCGCGCGCCGCTC